CGGAAAGTGAAGAGAATTGAGAATGAAGTTGTTGGGAGGACTAGAAAATCTATTAATCAGAGTCCAGAGCACTCCGCTAAGAGCACAATCCAGCCGGCGGAAATGGGATTTAAGTGGAAATTCCTCTCTCTCAGTGAATAACAAATATGATGCATATTTCCCTGATTACGGTCTTTACGTCCCTTACATTTTCCAACTCTCTTGATATTCCCATTTTGCAGATTCGGTAGATAATCATCCTCTTGAATAGTAATCTAGTTTAGTTGTGGTTTCGGTTTGCTTTGGTATTGACATTTCCTAGAGAGCTCCAATAGACAAACAGATAAAAGCTGACCTGCTGCAGTTAAGTCTGGGGATGTGGTGATGGGATCCCTGTATCCCTCTTGAGACTGTCCCTGAGACCTGTAGCTCTAGAATCTAATCCTCATGACCTCTGACGTTCCTCCAGAAGTAAACTGTGTGTGAACTTGTGCTCCCTTGAGAAGCTGCCTTGAGGAAGGGTTTCAATTCTTCTAATATTTTAGCAAGTTTACTCCTCTTCTACTTTTTTTTTTTTTAGTTTTGCAAATTTTCATGAAGTTTTTAAAAGCTGACTTTCATTGTTATTTCTCTGTTAACAACTACCACTATGAAAACTTGACTCTATTGAGTTTGGGTTTTCTTTTTTCTTTTTTTTTTTTTTTTTTGAGACGGAGTTTCACTCGTTGCCCAGGTGGAGTGCAATGGTGCGATCTCTACTCACCACAACCTCTGCCTCCCGGGTTCAAGTGATTCTCTTGCCTTAGCCTCTCAAGTAGCTGGGATTACAGGCAAGTGCCATCACGCCTGGCTAATTTTGTGTTTTTAGTAGAGACAGGGTTTCTCCATTTTGCTCACGCTGGTCTCGAACTCCCAACCTCAGGGGATCTGCCCGCCTCGGCCAAAGTGCTGCGATTACAGGCATGAGCCACTGCCCCCGGCCAGTTTGCTTTTTTTCTTCTAAATGCAATGGGAAGCCACTAAAAGGGCTTTAAGCAGGAAAGTGACATTATCCGGTTTTCATTTTATAAAGATCCCTGTGGCTGCCGTCAGTGATTGTAGGAGGGCAGGAGTGGATGCAAGGACAGCAGACATTAGTGCAGGAGTTCAGGTAAAAGATGGTAATAGCTTGGACAGAGTGGTAGCAGTGGACATGGAGGGAAGTGGACAGATTCAAGATGTCTCGGAGACAGCTGATGGAATTTGCTGACAACTAGATTAGGAGTGACAATGACAAATAAAGGAACCTAGAATAAGACCCAGAATTTTGCTTAAGCAACTGAGAATTCAGCCATGGCAGATTTGTTAAGCACAAAAGTTAAACACAAATACAAATTCATATAGCATTGGACTCTCTTAAGCAGTGTCTTATAGGAAAAACATTTTATCTAGGGAAAAATGCAACAACAAAAACCTTTGAAAACAAAAGCCTATGAACAAAAGCAGACCTGTTTTAGGCTCTGGATGCACAAAACACACACACAGAATTCTTGTGGTAGCGATGGGAGGAAGTGAAGAGGTAACAGGTTGCAAGTTATTTTAAGGACTAAGACCCAATATTCAGAAACCAAATCTTGTTCTTCCAGTGTGGATGCTTAGTCAAAGACTGTAAATTGTCTTCAAGCTGAGAGAAACCATGAAAAGGAGTGGCGACCTACTTGACCTTCCGTTTTTGGGAGCCAAACCTAGACCACAATGTAGGTCTGAGTGACTCCCAATCCAGAGCTGTCTCCATTAGGCCAGGCTCTCACCCCAGCTCCAAACCAATTTCTAAAAACTTGTCCAAGAGTCTTCCTCTTCTTTAGAATTGGTAATCTTGGCAATTAAACTCAGTGTAGAAACACTCTCCTGAACATAATCAGCATGCTGGTTCTTCCGTTTCTGTTGCCTTGCTCTTCCTAACAGCTCCTCCTTTCATCTTTGCAGGCTTCTTCTCGGCCATAGGAACTCAGGGCTCAGTGCTGTACTTCATCTCCAAAGTGTATCTAAAGCGCCCATCTGATCCCATGGCTAACTACTCCCCAGATTATCTCCTGGACTGACCTTACTGAATTTAGACTTGTATATCCAATACCTACTTAACATATCCACTTTGATGCTCAGTGGGCACCTCACACTTGATGTGTCAAACACTGAATTTCTGTCTCTGTTATGCACATACTCAAACTTTCCCCCACCATGTATTTCCCCTTCTCAATAAACTGCAATAGCTCAAGTCAAAAGCCTAAGATTCAGACCTGAATTCTTTCCTTTCCTCTCTCTCAAATCCAATTCATCAACAATCTTGTTACCTTTTTTGTTTTGGAATGAAGGCACATATAACTGGGCTAACAATAATGCTTGATTCATAATTAATCACCGATGTTCCATGCATAACTCTCTTATTCATTTGTCATGCATTTATTTTATTTTTGAATTTTTTTTACAGACGGGCATGGTCTCACTACGTTGCCCAGGTTGGAATATAGTAGCTATCACAGGTGAAATCATAGCACACTACAGCCTTGAACTCCTGGCCTCAAGGGATCTTCCCATCTCAGACTCCCAAGTAGCTGGGACTATAGGCACCCACCACTACACCCAGCTCATGTACTTACTTTTAATGACAAATGAACCACCCCAAAACCCACCACCTCACCCACGGACTAAAACACTACCAGTGACTTACTCATAGATTTGTTCCTCCTCTATCTCTCCCACACCCAGAGGTAACACTATCTTGAACTTTATTACTACTTTTTAAAAGTTTTGTCACGTATGACAATGCCTAAACAGCTGTTCAGTTTTAGTTGTTCTCGACTTTTATGAGAAAAGTATGTTATATATAGTTTTCTCAGAATTGCTTTTTCGTTCTGAGTTATTGTGCTGCAAGTAGCTGGTATTCATTCATTTTGCGGCCATGTAATCGTCATTCATTCTGTGAACACATTACACCTACAAATGGACGTTTTAATTTATTCCAGAACATTCTTACATGTGTCATCTGGGGGACTTTGTGCAAGCATTTCTCAAGCATATACTGAGAAGTGAAATAGCTGACCCATGGGTATACACTTTTTTTTTTTAAGATATGATCTTACTCTGTGACCCAGGATAGAGTGCAGTGGCACAATCATGATTCACTGCAGCCTCAACCTCCTGGGCTTAAGCAATCCTCCAACCTCAGCTTCCCAAGTAGCTAGGACCACAGGCATGCACCACCATGCCCAGCTAATTAAAAAAAGTTTTATACAGATGTGGTCTCCCTGTGTTGCCCAAGCTGATCTTGAACTCTTGGGCTCAAGTGATCCTCTTACCTCAGCCTCCCAAAGAAGAGGCATGAGCCACTGGGCCTGGCCCAACTTTTCTAGTTAATGGTTTTTCACAGTAGATATACCAATTGATAACCCCACCCCCATCAGCAATATGTGAGTGATCCTATTAACTAAAACCCTCTCCAAAACTTGACTTTATTGTTTCATTTTTGCCAATCGAATGAATTTGAACATGTCATTGTCATCTTGATTTACATTTTCCTGATTGAGAGATGAAAATCCTCTTAATATGCTTATTGGCCAATATGCACTTCTAACTGTGTGGAAGGCCTGGTTCAGTCTTCTGCCTATTTTTCTGTGATACTGTCCTTTTTTGTTGGTTTGTAGAATTTCTGTATACATTCTTTATACTAAGCTATTACTGGTTATAAATGTTGCAGATATCACTTCACAGTTTGTAGTTTGGCTTTATTTTTTTTGAGACACAAGGTCTCCCTAAGTTGCCCAAGTTGGACTTGAACTCCTGGGCTCAAGCAATCTTCCCACCTCATCCTCCCAAGTTGATGGACACAATGTGTGTGTGTGTGTGTGTGTGTGTGTGTGTAACGGAGTCTCCCTATTTTGTGTGTGTGTAACGGAGTCTCCCTATCTTGTGTGTGTGTGTGTAACGGAGTCTATTTTGTGTGTGTGTGGAAACGGAGTCTCCCTATTTTGTGTGTGTGTGTGTGGAAACGGAGTCTCCCTATTTTGCCCAGGTCCGTCTCGAACTCCTGGGCTCAAGCGGCTCAAGTAATCCTTCTGCCTCTGACTCCCAAAGTGCTGGGATTACAGATATGAGACACAATGCCTAACCACGGATGCACAATTTCTAAATTAAGAATTTATAATATAGTGTAACTTATTTTCTTTTATAGTTATCTTCTATGTTTTTGTTTTCTGCTTCCAGTTTAAGAAGTTCTTCCTAAAAGGAGTAGGATCAGGAAGATAATCACTTACATTTTCTAAATATATTTCAATTACATTTTAATCTATAATTCCACATATATTTTCTACAAGTCATCATCCTGTTGCATTAATTTTAAAGAGCATGTTTCTAGTGCATAAGGTTGAAAAGCATTCTTCTCCTTATAGATTACTAAAGATTTATTATTAATGGGTATAATGATTTTCTTTAGTCTTACTTTTTATTTATCCTTTTTCAGTCATCCACAAACTTTTTCTGAGTATTTGATTACCTTTCTTTCAAATCTCTCACAGCATCTCCTGGATTTGTTTCTCTTTTTATTTGGGTACTTTCTCCAAAAGCAGTTTTAGTTTGTATAGGAAAATCTTCTGAAGCCTTGATGGTACATATTCTTATTAATGCCCTCACATTAGAATAACTATTTTCAGAACATAAAATTCTAGGTTCAAAGTTTTTTTCATGTTCAATTTCACATTCTTGAGCTGGGTGTGGTAATGATGGTTTTTACCATAACATACTCCAATGTCCTTTTGTCTGTGGGCTCCCACCCAACCTGGTGGCCGAAGTCATCTACAGGTAAGACTGACCAAACCTCTAAACAGAACTGAAAAAAATGTTATCTTCAGAAAACCAGCTCTCTTATACACTGCTGCTGTGAATACACATTGATTAACTTTTCTGGATGGCAATCTAGCAACGCAGATCAAACATTTAAAAATACATATATATACACATATAAATACACATATATATATATCGACACAACAATTTTATCTCCAGGCATCCACATGAAAGAACTCAACTGTTCAAAAGTGCACAGATAAGGATACTCGTTAAGCATTATAATATGAAAAATAAACTGAAAACCACCTCATCTCCAAACACAATTAAATTATGTTAAAATTCTATAAACAGGGATTAGGATGTGTAGATTTACCCAAAGGAAAATGTATTTAATGTTTAGGTTTAAAAAGAAAAAAAAAAAAGCCTACTTTTTGTTTCAAAAATATGCATATGTAAGTAGAAAATATCTGAAAGCTGAAAGGCTACTCTCCAAAAATATTAACAGCAGCTTTCTCTAAACAGACACTAAAGTGGTTTCTCGTTTTTTGTTTTTGCTGTTCTATACTTATTATATTTCTACCACAAACCTCTTGTTATAATTTCTCCAGTAGAGTCAGTTTTACAATTTGGAATGCAGAGGTCAAGTGGTTCTATGATCAGTGTATACTTTACATGTACCATTCTTTCAACCTACACCCCTTTAAACCCCTTTGACACACATCAAACTCATTTACGTCTATGTCCCTCCAACGTCAATATAGTGGTTAACACATATAAAACATGAATACACTACATCAAGAAGCTCAGGAATACATCTCTGGGATACAATTTGACTGCCTTCTATTATATTTTAATGAATCACCAAAATAAAGGGATTCTTTCAATTACAGAGAGCAGAATAATTAAAATAGTAACTTTCAAACTTTGTAGCAGCAGAAGTATTTCTTCAAATATAATCTTTTTGAAACCCAATATAGAAAACAGACAAAAATAAAGCCATTCTAGAGGTGGGGGCCTTGGAAAGTGAGTGCTGTCCACTCAGACGTCTTCTTTGCCTCTCACAAGGAAGGAAGCTACTGTGTAGTTTGAAAATTACTATTTAATACATTCTGCTAACCCTAAATGCCATGTCAGAGCTAGAAGAGAAAATGTACACACATTCAATCTAACATTTATTTATTTCAGGGTTTTTGTAACTATAAATTACATTCACTAGTACACCTGTAATCCTTCATAGTGTATTCAATTAAAGAATAAGCAAACACAGCATAGATCAGTTTAAAAGAAATCATGGTACTTCTTAGAGCAATTTGCAAAAGGGGAAAAAAGTCTTAGGCCCGCTCCTTGGAAATAAATATCAAGTAACCATAAAAATATTCAGCCATTTTTCAGTTATTCAGAGAGTTCAGGCATGGTCCCACGCAGAACATCAGAGTTCCTCTTTGAAATAACCCAGCTTTGCCAATGACATCTCTTTTCTCAACTGCATAACTTCCCAAAACATCTGATCAACTATACAAATAGAAAAGAGAGATATTTAAATCATAAAATACCATCTTCATTATTTTTAATGTTTCGCTGAAAACTTAAGTTAGCTGAAATGTCAATTGTATCAACTGCGTATTTCCTAAAGATGTACCTACATTTTTTCAATAATTCACATAAGCTTTTCCACAGACTTGTGACCATCCCAGTTTTATCAATAAAGCAAGTCACCAGTTTTGTCACAATTATTCGTTAAATATATCAGAGACGATCATTTTAGCCCTAGAAAGGTAGACATCCAGCATCCTGAGTAAATGTCAATGCTGTCACCTTCATGGAGTACACTCAATGCTCAATTATTCGAGTTATTCTCTAACTTATGAATCTTCTTGCTCTAGTTTGTTATATCATGGCCATTTTACTCTTCATTAACACTAACAGAGGGTGAAGGGGAAAAAAAGAAAACAAGACAATCCAGAAAACTCAGTAACACTGTTTGTGAGTAATAACAGAAAGGTTTTGCATATGGCTCAAATTAGAAATAAAAATGCATGTGGAAGATGAATTGTAAATTCAATTACCTATACTTTTGTAAGTTCCCACTATAAGTGGAAAAATGTTGGCTCCTTATTTCAGACAATAAAAGGTCTTCGTTTGATATATGATCAGATTATATTCATTTAGATCAATGGTTCTCAATCATGGAAGATTCCACCACTACCACTACCACCACTTCTCATCCCTGGCCACTCCAGGGTACATTTGGCAATGAATAGATACATTTTTCACTGTCCCCTCTCGGGGGTGCTACAGGTATCTAATGAGTAAAAGCTAGGGATGCTATTAACATCCTACAAATGCACAAGACAGTCCCCCACAACAAAGAATTATCCAGCTCAAAATGTCACTAGTACCAAGGTCAAGAAATTCTGCTTTAGATTTAGCTGCCCTAAATCTTTTGTTGGCACAAGGCACATATAATAAACAGATTTTAAGACTAATACCTGTTTACAACAAACATACATAGTAAATGATGTGTACTAAATATCATAAAGTGGAAGAGTGATAGAAACCAGAGAAGATATACTACTTTTATCATCACCCTCACCATTCATTACTCGCAACACTTTCTATTTTCATAAAGTAAATTATCTTTCTGTCTGTCCTACAAGCTTCTCATTTAAACAAACAGAAAAATATTATATTCTTGGCAATTATATTTAACATAAATTTTCTGTTATCTGGCTTAAATTATATTATCCATCTACAGGTATTCAAAAATATTTCAGTTTTATTAAAGTCAAAAAAAGTATTATACAGTTTAAAGACTGTTTGTATGTTATTAAGTCTTTTGAAATTCAACATTAATTAGGTTATCAGGTTATTAGGTTAACAGGTTTTATCCCTATTGTTTTAGGCATTAAAATCCAACTATATGGGATTTTAAAGAAATATGACATTTTTCAACATACCAGACCTTGAGAAAGGCTAAACTAAGTTTTTATCAGCATGACTAACTTCTCCATAGAATTAAGATTCACTGGTTTACATGATTGAAAGATGGTAGGCTTCTACCAGTGTTTGAGCAAGATAATATTTTCAGTGCCTAAAAAATATAAACAGGGGAATTTCATAAAACTTTAAATACAAACTGGCATAGACTTGTCTCTAGCCCAGTATCTGCTATTTTCATTTTTATGCAATCATTTGTGCTCGAGACATACTGCTTTGGAGATGTCAGGCCATATTAGTTTTTATGCCTGATATTTAAGATATTTAGCTATAAAGCCATATAAAATTGTATTAAAAATATTAACACACTTGCATGAGGTTGCTTCTCCTGGATATATCACCTGCATGTTTCTGCTGATTTAGAATATGGCAATCTTTATTCCATTCAGAATTATCCTCATGACTACTTTATTAATTCACACGCAAAAAATAGAAAATACAGGGAAAACTTAATTGTGAGCTCCATCATGGTTTCCATCAATTAAAATAAATCTGACCACTTTGCCGCCCTCATTTTCATCTCTTAAAGAGTCAATTCAATGAGCTTGGAACTCTCTTCTCATTTATCATCTGGTTTATTATACACCACTTAGGAGTTAAAACTGACCCTGCTTAAAATTCAAAATTAAGAGTAAAATGAGGCAAATAAAATAATCAAACACAGTATTTTTCTAAAAGACATTTGTTTCCAAATTCTCCACAAATTTTATTAGAACTATATATGGGATTCAACATAAATGTACCAACAATAAAGCTGATATGAGCATTACTACTACGTCCTATACTTTTTGCTGAACTTTTATGTAAAGTTTTATACTGAATCAAGAACACTCACCATCCTGCTGTTTCACGAGTCCCTGCTGAATGTATCGAATGTATGTAAAAAAGTTACATACAGAAGTGATCTAGGCCAAATGGAGAAAATGTCATGAATGGTCAAATGTCTCATATCAAAGCAAGCTTTATTAAAATTCATGGTTAAGTCACTTACCCTGTATCTGCAAAAAGGAGAAATATAATAATAGTTGCTTGAGTCCCCTAATTTAATTCTGTGTTTACAGGACTTACTCTGGCCAGTGAGAGCACATTTTCTGTGAAATAATGATAAATTTCAGTTTTTTGAAATTAAAAGCATTTGTCCCTACCTTCTGTACAAGTTACTTATTCATTCAGTTAGATGACAAATATTTGAGAACCTACTGTGTACCAGGCACAGTTCTAGATGCTGGGCTACAGTGATGAAACAGACAAAGAGTATGCCCTTGTGAGACTTACATTCTATTAATAGTATAAGTTTAATGCCATAATATTAACCATGATTCTAGAAACAGAAACTAGGTGTTTTCCATATATGTCCCATCCTGGAACAAATTTACAAATGAGTAATCAGCTGCAGGACGGCTCTCAGCTTTCCATCAGGATTTCAACTTCTCAGTTGAAAATATCCTCATGATGACTGTTCAAGTCTCAAAGCATGTTACAGATAGCTTGCAGGGTAATAGTTTCCAGATGGGGTATTTGTTTATTTGGTTGGTTGGTTGCTATATTTGCATTTAATGTGGGACCTAGGGAGAAGTACAAAGGAATAAGCCACCTTATAAAAATACTGAATCTTAACAATCATATAACAAGTTCACTAAATTTCACACCATCCTTTCTATTTGCATGACAAAAGCTAAAATTTTAATGAGGGCTTTCTGGCTGGGATTAGGCTATCAGCCTCTTGAGGGCAGGGACTTTGATTCATCTTTAAATGCCTGGCACCAGGCATGTGCCTGGCACACAGCACACATTCAATGACTGCTGAATGAGTAATGAGCCATCTGTTAACCTATGGCTCCGTGAGATAAGGCTGGCATGTCTATCAGGCCAGACTTGCAGCAGCCCAGCTGTCACCCTCCTAAGCTAGGAACCTGGCTCAATACAACTATCACTCCCCATCAATGCAAAATTAGCATAGCTCTAAGTAAAATAAGAGGCCAATAGCATTTTATATGGCAGTACAAATTACATAGTAAATATATTAAATAACATTACATTTTAGCAATACTTACAAGAAATATAATACAAATGTGACTTTATATTAAGAAAACACACAACAATGTGTATTTGAAACAGGGTAATTTTTCAGCAGGGGGTAATTCAAATCACTAATCAATTCCTATCTTTTTTCAAATATTCCTTTGTTTCTTTATTAGCAAATTCCTTTAATGATCTGTAACAATATATAAAAGCACTAACTACTAGTTTGGGGAGGATAGAAGATCTAGAAATTTAAAGCACAGAGTGTTGAAAGTCTGTGGAACTTCCAAAAGTATAATTTGCACAAGAGGAAAATGTGCCATCAAGTTGCTAAAAACCAATTTATACACTATTCTTCTGGAAACAGGAAACAGACATATGCCTGCTGGTCTACTATTCAGCCTAATTTTGAAAGGGATTTGGTAAGGTGGCCTTAAGTATCAACTTTTAAAATAATAAGTGTTTCTTTTTTTAACTTGTAAATTCAAGAGTACACATGCAGGGTGTGCAGGTTTATTAAATAGGTAAATATGGGTCATGAGGGTTTGTTGTATGTATTATTTCATCACCTAGGCTATTAAGCCTAGTATCCACTATTCTTCCCGATCTTTTCCCTCTTCCCATCCTCCACCCTTCCATAGGCAGCAGTGTATGTTGTTCCCTCCGATGCGTCCATGCGTTCTCATGGAACACAAAAGCTCCCACTTATAAGTGAGAACACGTGGCATTTGGTTTTCTGTTCCTACATTAGTTTGCTAAGGATAATGGCCTCCAGCTCCAGCCATGTCCCTGCAAAGGACATGATCTCATTCTTTTTTTATGGCTATATAGTATTCCATGGTGTATAGTGTTTCTTAAAAGATCTCATTTCTAAGCCATTTTGTAAACTAGACACACCTAATATATTTTTAGTTAAGCCAGGATTCAATGCGAATAGACCTTTGACCTCCAACTCCATTTTTTTTTTCAAACATGCTACATACACTACATTAATAAATCTCTGTAACTCTAGTCCCAAGATTTCAAATCCTTGTTTGCCATTTTCATGTGACAATGTCAGCATGTTTAAATCTAGACCTATAATCTTCTCCCACAAACCAAAGCCTTTTCTATTAATTTCCACAATCACTTCAAATCAGTCTTCCAGTCAGACATCTCTAACTCCTTTCTCCTTTACCCATCACCCCACCCCAATCTAACTTTTCTTTCTTAAAATCTGTCACATCTTCCCTTGCCTCTGCATACACTCACCATCCTTTGAACACACTTTGATTTCTTGTTTCTAGGTCTTCAATTGTATATACTGCTCTTTATCCAAATTACTCTTATGCTTCAAAAACCTAAACCAAATCTCCCTCCTTTCAAGAAGAGTACCTAATTATAGTTTGAATAATCTTGTCTTCCTCAAAATTCCTACAGTGCTGTGCCACTTATTTAGTCATTATCTTCACACTGTAGCTCACAAGAGCCACGGCCAGAGCCATACTTCACATAGTTTTTTCCATATGATATGCATCACCTTGGTTTCTGGCCCCATTCCCACAAGCACAATATCCTTAAACTTTGTAAACTGTTCTCTAAATCTAAACTATAATTATTTTACTAAAGATACTTTAAATGCACTTTAATTTGATATCCCCATTTGTTATCATTTGATGATATTTGCACATATATGTGTGATATATAATGCAAGCACAAATTTTAAATTCTACAATAAAACCAGTTGTATGCTATATTTAAAATGAGGCACGACACAGACCTTAAACATATGAAAACTGCTATGATTAAATTTAATTCTCCATATTTGGGGTAGAAGGATCAGAATAAAAATACTTGGGTGTTTGTAGAATTTAAGAATGTAAATCTTTCCCTAAAATTCAGAGGCCACTGTTACACAGGTGTGGCTTGAGGGAGCGAGGTGGACGTGTGGCTCACAGAACAAATATATGACTAGGAACCCTCCAACAAATGATCACCTAAATAACAACATTCTGTAATCTTGCTGAGAATGTAACGTGCATAACAGGGAATAGAAACAAGCACACAGTTCCTACAACAGCTTTAACACAGACCTATTAGTTCATCTCAACCAGTCTTTTCCTTTTCTGGCTTCAGAATAACCCTGACAGCAGTCAGTTACACTTTCTATGAGCTCTCTTAGGCTTTCTAGTCCCCTATATTGATCTGGCTCTATGTACTTAATAAGCATCTTTCTCAAAAGCTTTCCAAGTCATTTTTTAAACAGAAGCCAAGACACAATTATGCCATGGTTTTAGGCAAAACCTTTCACCGTTGCCAGATGTTTTAAGCACTGTTGGTTTCAGTCATTCCTCCCCATGGGACTGGATGGAAAAAGTCTGCCCTGCTATGAAATGTGGGAGTCTTATCTCTGAAGATTTCTAATTCTCAAGTAAGACTCACATATGAAAGACAAAACTGATTATTTATTAAAGTGAGAATCCTTTATAAACACAATATAAAAGGAGAAATCTCATCAAGTCTTTTTGGTACACTGTTTTCATGACTGATAAGACTCTAACTCCGTATCTTCCCAAACTATTTTTGATAGTCACCCTCAGACAGAAGTATTTTATACAGAAACCCAGGACACATGGCTATACATATACATGTAATAAACAAAAATTCTGCTTATGACCCACTAAACTGATTTCACAATCCACTAATAGGTCACAATATGAGGTTAAAAACAAAAACAAAACTCAGATTTCTATCTCTAGTTTACCTGCATCCATATATGTATATTATTGTACTGGGTTGGTGCAAAAGTAATCGTGCCATTACTTTCAATGGCAACAAGCACGATTACTTTTGCACCAACCTATAATTAAAAAGGCTCTCCTTTAATGCTAAGGCTGAAATACTGTATTCCACACTGTCTCAGGAATTCGTCTTTGGGCTACACAGACACTTAAGAGAAATCTGAGGGAGATATAACTACATTTAAAACCAGAAAAACTAAATAACTGCAACCCATAACATTTCAAAAACTCAGTCACTTTCACAATTCATGCATGTAAAAACCTACTTTGGTCCTCCGCATTCAACTGCAGAAGCTTTCACAAACCGGATAGGTTGTAATCCCACTGGTTCAATGCTTAGAGTATTGTTTTCCACAGCCTCCAGAACAGCTGAAGCCAACTTAAAAAAAAAGAAAAAGTACTAGATGCTACACTGGCAGAAAAGTATCAAAATCGTATTCTACAGTAAACTAATTTTACAAATTATTCTTCTCCCAAGTCCACTAGCTTGGCTTTAGCAAATGAAAAAGGAAGAAATCAGATAATTTTCATTTGATTTATTTTATAATCCAAACACTGTTATGAAAGGCAATTCACTTACGGTAAAATAACTTTCCTCACTATCTGGACGAGGATTAAAGGCATTAATTCCAGTCTCTGTTCACTCCTTATCCATGATTAATATCCACTGTTAATGCCACTTCAAAATGAATATCCTGAAGCTTTATTTTGCTAAATGTATACAATATTTTTAAACACTGATCATTTATACCACAGCAATATATATTAATTAGCTGCATATTCTCTGAATTTGTATTTATGTGCATAAGAGTGAGTCTACAAAAGAATTAGCTGAATTATCAAATATTAAATGCCAGGATGAAGATGGTAGCCACTGATACAAGATGAAACAGGAAAACTTCTTTAGTCTGGCAAGGTTACTAATACTGAATGGCCTACCTGAAACCAGATACAGAGCCACAATGAACAACACATATTCATATCAAAAGTGTGAAAAATGCTCATCTTAACTTCTCCTGATAAGTAACATTACAATTAAATTCTTGAAAGACTTAACATAAAACTCTTAGGATTAAATTTCTTATACTTTAATTGACAGGATATTTCTAGACAAACCTTTCACATGTAAGAATAAATTAAAATTATAGCTTTACATTTTTGTACTGCCTTATTTTTCTAAGGTTTTTGTCTCTACTTAATTCACTTCATTTTATCCTTTTAACAATCCTGTGGCACAGGCAAACAAGGCATTACTTTTCCTGTTTTAAAGATTAAAAAAATAAGATTTTTAAATCATGCACAGATAGACACAACAAATGCCTTTAACAGAGTGTGTAAAGAACTTCCCTTACACCGAACCTTGGACTGTAAATCAAGAAACAAGTCCTATCCCCCATACCTATTTAATATCTGACACCAATGCAGTACACATTTTAGTGTGAATGATCCTCTGCTCATATAAGGAAAGATGTTCAGTAACTGAATGCTGAGAAATTATCATGATTCTAGTACAGAATGGCAAAAATAGTAAAACATGACATTTTATAATAACGTATTTATGTAGGAGATATTAAAACATGTAATATTATTTAGTTTAAAAGAAGTACAGAAACAACTATAATGAAGTCCTACTAAAATGAAAACAAATTACCTCGCTTTTTGAGAATGTTAAACATGGAAAGATATCTTCCTGGTAGATTTTGTCTAAGAAAGGACACGTCCTGTCCATTGTGGGCTCATCCTTCCACAATCGAAACTCATTATACAAGGATAAGTCAGCCTAACAGACAAACCAAAGGAAAACACAAAAACATGTTTTAAAAAGTATAAACATAAAAACCACTTTACAAAACCAAAACTAATTTAAACATCACTGAAAAACAATGCTCTTCATTTAAAATAATAAATTGAACCACTCTTGATTAGTTATATAATACCTGGTAGCAGTTTTCCTTTTTAAAAAATGACTCTCAAATAACCAAGTAGCTTTTCTCCATGCATCATCTGCTACCATGTTCAATAACACTACTATTATCCTCACCCTGAGCTCCTTCTCCCATCCCCACCAAAAATGCTGGAGTTCCTCTTAAGACACAGGTAGCACACTATTCAGAATATAATAAATGATGACAAGTCTTTTCTGGAAACAATAAAAAGGTAATTTGGAACCTAATTAATTATAGTGTTTAAATAAACTGAGACTGACTGAACTGTGGAACCTAATTTCGGATCAAAAATGACACAGTTCTACTATAACTTGAAGGCATTCCCAAAAGAATTGTCAAAATGTTACTGCATAAGCAAAAGGATTTTAAAAAACAACACGTAAAGTCTTCTAAACTGCCTACCTTAAAATACAACATTTATTTAGATATTTTTGACATATTTTTGGTATCCAGTAACTACCACCTTAGGCATCGATAATAATCCACTGCTGGCACCTGCCTTCCTATTCACTCCTCCAGCTGTCCCTCTCTTTCCCACCTCCCTAATAAATTTTCCCCAAGTATTCTTCCCTACCGCTTCTCAGATTCCCTCAGTCCAGCTCAATAACACAAAGTTGGACTGACATCAGTCACCCAAACTAGAGCAGTCTCCACCATCCTACAGCGTTAAGCTGCTCTTGTCCACAAGCACTGGATACACCATAAATGATGCGCTGACTACAGCTACAGACTGCCTCTAGGATAGCTCAATCAGACGTGCAAGTAGTCTACAAGAACGTAACAGAGCTGAGTGTAGCTAAGCCTTCCTACAGACTTCCTTTTAAGGTGTATGAAGGCAATCTCCACGTGAATTTTCTTTTCAGACCAATTCATAAATTCCTTGAATCAAAGCAAAAGCAGTAGGATAAATAATATTAGCATATAAGCAATACTTACATTTTCAAATGCATTTTCTTTGTAAAGTTACTGAGAAAAAGGACATAAACCTCAAAGCAGGTAAGTGGTATTCTAAGGAAAGATTCTAGTTTAAAGGCTGTAATTTAAACTATTTATTAAGAGCTGACTCTGCCAGGAACCACTGTAAGCACTTTACAAACATTTAATCCTCACAACGGTACAAGACAGATATTATGATCGCCATTTGTAACTTGCCCAAGATTGCATAGCAAGAAAACAGTGAAGTCCAAATTCAAATCTAAGTGGCTTGATCTCAAAGCCTTGCACTGGGCTTGTATGTCTGCATGCAGGAATGTGTATTTTAAATGTCTACAGAAGACATGTTGCTGATGTCATAACTGAGTGCCCCCATCATATTTTCTACAAAAACATGGACATGCTTCATTTTCTTCCAGATCGTTACGTATTTTTCTAAGACTTACACAGGCCATATTTATGTAATTCCTTTGCCTAGTAAGACTTTTTGACAAGTTTTTCACGAAACATCAGAATATAACACATACCTGGAAAGCAAAGGTTATTTTGAAGTTATATGTTGCCTACACACGTTTTAAGGGATTTCAAAAACTAAAATGAACCTTTACCATGTTCCATGAGAAGACATTTAAATTTTGTTAGTGTCAATAGGGGGGAAAAGTACATAATTACTTACACATACTGAGTAAGAAACAGCAAAAATACAAGTTGTACCAGGCAATTAAAATTGCTATTTAAATTTCAAAGAATTAGAATTAAAGTTATGACAAAAAAAGTTTCTTAAATACTTCACAGAAACCAATGTGAATTTTGGATTTGGTTACATTCATATTTAACCAAGTATTGAACTTCTCTCTTAGTAGCATCTTTCTTATTAATAATTAGTCAAAATGCAATTCAATTACAACAGGTTAACAACATTGGTTATTCCATTTAATAAACTCCTGACTTCCATACAAAAATTTAACAAGCACACACATTTCTTCAGGATTAATGATGAACTTGAATTCAACAATGTAAAAGACGGCTTCTAAGAAGAAATGGGAAAGCTTCATAAATTATTGATCAATCCTCTTAGAAATGCTTTCTTACAGTATACAATGATTAAAAACAATTTTTACTCTAAACAGCTCAAAATACTTATATATTATTTCAGTTATCTTTATTACATATCTTTTAAAATAATAAGACTATTATTATTATTATTATTATTATTATTATTATTTTGAGATGCAGCCTTGCCTTGTTGCCCAGGCTAGAGTGCAATGGTGCAATCTCGGCTCAATGCAACCTCCACCTCCCAGGTTCAAGTGATTCTCCTGCCTCAACCTTCCGAGTAGCTGGGGTTACAGGCATGCGCCATCACGCCTGGCTAATTTTGTATTTTTAGTACAGACGGGGTTTCTCCATGTTGGTCAGGCTGGTCTCGAACTCCCAGCCTCAAGTGATCCTCCGGCCTCAGCCTCCCAAAGTGCTGGGATTACAGGCATGAGCCACCGCGCCCAGCCCATTATTTCGTTTTAAATTTTTAATTATTATGGATACATGATAATGGTAGCCTTACATAGTTGTAAGTGTCTGAATAACTGAGACTGGCTGAACTGTGAAACCTAATTTGGGATCAAAAATGATACTAATTGTTCTACTATAACTTGAAATTTCACTTAGCAAAATGTCTTCCAGCCTTACGTAGTTGTAAGGCTACCATTATTTCTATTTTTTGTTGCTTAATTATCTGAATTAACTCTAGGACTCCTTTGCTGATATAAAATTCTCTCTCTGAATTTAAATAAAAGCAATGTATTAATCTTTAAGAAAATCATCTTATTTTCACATATTTCTTATATCCATACTTTGTAAGTGCACTCTAGCAATAAATGTTGACCAGCCAGATCATTAAAGCCACCCACTCTCCTCTAGACAACACACGACAGTTTCCTCCCTTAATGAAATATCGAGATTAAGAAACTTACCAAGTTTCTAGCAGGTACTCCAAGGTCAGCCAGGTAGAAAATGGAACTGAAGAATCCCTGAAAGCAGCCAGCTCTAGATAAAGCCTCCCCCATCTTAATACTGCATATTTTGTACTAAAAATTTTGCTGGCAAAAATGATAACTGACACCTCAGTGATGAGAATTAACAAGTATCAACAGAGTCAGAGGGGACAGTCCTTGACGAGTTACCTCTTTGCAGTCTTTTACAATTGGCTGTATCACACTGAGGTCCTGATGACTGCCACTCATAGCACTGCTTGTGCTTTTATTTCTTGTATGCCCCTTTTTAAAAGGTGTCTTTCCACCTGGCAAAGGCTCCTGCGTAGGTGATGTTGGAGAACTGGACAATACAAGTGTCTTCAATGCAGCTACTTCAGCTTGAAGTACATCAATCTTGGAAAGAAATCAACATAGTTACATACATTAAATATGTTTCATGACAAATGCAGCTAAATATTAGCAATCTGGTCAAAACACTTTCAAAGATGAAAAGTAAGTGTAATTTGTATGTCCTGTGGAGTAATAAAGAGAAACTAAAATCAAGTTTTTCGATGTTTCCATACGGTTTGGATTTATCTATTATTCACAATGTCAAATCAAATTTTGAAAATTACCAAAATAGCTAACATTTATGTGAATTTTCAAAATCTTCAAAATACAATAGCTTATGACTAGTTGTAGAAGTTCACTCCTAAAACAGTAAAATCTAATAACATTTAGGTGGCTTTTCTCAGTGAATTTAAAAACTAAGTATTAACATTAAAATGTGATTCTATAATCCTTTGGATAATTTATGTGATTTACAAGGCTTTAAATCATTTGGTTCTCATATAAATGGACACCAAATGTTTACTATTAATTATATCTACATAGTAGCTATTTTCTTCTATTTTTCTGTAGTTTCCAAATTGAAAACAAGCACTACTTTACAATCAGAATAAAATCCAACAGATGTTAAGGTATCTTTAAAACAGTCACCACTATTTTATACTATTAAGAGCAGCAAAAACTTACTTTTCCTTGTGCTTCTTTTAGCTGTTTTTCTGCTGTTGCCTGCTTGATATTTGCTTCTCTCACCATTTTATGAGCTTCCTGAAAAAGTTAACATCTCATATTTTAGAAACAAAGTAGCATTTGTTTTCAAAAAGCTTTTGCCAAGTGTTTATGATTGAAGCAAACATATACTACCAAAATTTAGCCTGAAAATAAGTACTCAATATCAACTATGGAAGCAGCAGTTGACAACAGATACAACTATGAGGCATTAGGAATAGGTGCCTTCTTTTAGGACCTATTACCACTGAGGCAGCCAAGTTGAGATCAATCATCCTGATTAATGCTTGCGTAAGGACGGTAAATGTGATGAAGGCAAACAATGACCAACATGTCAAAGCCAACTCCTTTGCAGTCAGCTTTTTATAATGTGATCACTATATATGTTCTTATTAGTCATAGCAAAGACATACAGGAGGGACAAGTAAAAACATTAACACACCAATAATGTTGCAGTTTACAGTAATGACAGTTAAGAAGCCTTAGAGCTTTTAATAAAAAGATTCACAAAATTATATTGACAATTTTGTGCAGAGCAACCTAAAAAGGCAAATCAGAGTTTACCCTTTAATAGATTTTTAATCTTCGAGTACTACAAATATGAAACTCTAGGTATTTAATTCATTTTATTCATATAATGTTTATTCATGAGACATTTACCCATGTCATCTCTTCGTGAGGTACTGCTCCAGATGCTGATTACATTCTGGGAAAGGACAAAGTCCCTGCTCTTAAGGAGCTTATATTCTGATTAATCAAATAAAATATCAGAGTAAGAATTGCGGGTTTTATTCTAAATGCAATATGAAGCCTTACAGTTTTGTTAAGGAAGCCTTACAGTTTTGTTAAGGAAGACATGATCTTTTTATTTTTAAAAGATGATGCCCTTGTATAGAATAATCCCTATAAGGGATTAAGAATGGTCTGGAAGCATATATATAGGGTGCTTGAGAGAGTGCCCTGGGATTTAAGAACTTACATTTTAGAACTTCAATTTACAATTTATCAGAGGAAGGAAGGAAATGAGCTTCAAAGATATTTAATGAATAGTTTGACAATGGCACCCTCACTAGGTCTACCAAAATACACAGAGGTAGAATGGAAAGGTGGAGGTTCTTTACATCAGAGTTTGACTGTTTCCCATTCGTTCATTTGCTTTTACACTACTGTAATGATTGCAGTTTGCATGTGCCCATGAATGTGAATTTGCAGCTTATATTAGTTTAAATAGGAGAATCTTTACTATCAATGATTTATAACAAAATGATATTAACCATGAAGATATTCCATGCACTATTATTCTGGCTATCTTGGCAAAGTCCTTAAGAGCTGTCAAATTTAATGAGTTAAACAGTCTCCTTTTAAAAGTAACAATTGTTTCAGATTTGCTGAATTTTTCTGGGATAAGTGGCTGTCAACAGAAGACTATTTGGTGATGTTTTAAAAATAATAAACACAGCTAATCTGACCCTTCAGGATAAGTAACATTTTAACTTTAAATGCAAAAGTAATTCATAATATGGAGAGAATAGTTGGCTAAATTTTTGGAAATGGACTCTGCTTTCATTAATAGTGGATTATACGGTTTGGACCAAACCTCCAACAGAGAACGATTAGAAAGCTACAAGTTTTTTGTTTGTTTTTAAAATGTGTTTGAAGGTATTTGAGAACAAAACAGTGAAGTAAACTTAGAAGTGATGAGAAATTTTAGGTGACTTTTCCACTACACACATAAGGGTTACAGTGAAATGGTATAACACACATGTAACTGGAGCCCCAAAAGGAAAGATGAGCACTAGACTAGGGCAGGATCAGTTGCTAAAAAGATAACATGCAGAACTTTTACAGAATTTTTTTTAAATTGACAAAAAACATCAAAAGGTAGACTCAAAAAAGTGAAAATTTTCCATCACACTGTCCTTCTGAAGCTGAAAATGATATAAGTATCACCTATACCAGGAGTTGGTAAACTTTTCCTGTAAAGAGCCAAACACTATGTATACATATACAGCCTCAGTTGCAACTCCTTAGCTCTGCTGTTGCAATGTGAAAGCAGCCATAGACAATACACAAATTAGTGTCACTGCTTTAATAAATATGAGCACTGAAATATACATATCATTTTGTTTTTCTCTTAGCATATCCAGAACCTCTAAGTTACCTTTTTTTTTTGGACGGGAGGTGGTGAGCACACAAGATCTACCTTCTTAGCAAATTTGTCACATACAATATAGTCATGCTGTACATTGGGTCTTCAGAATTTATCTATCCTGCATAACTGACACTTTGTACCAATGACCAACATCTCCCATTTCTCCCATTTCCCAGCTCCTGACAACCACCAGTCTACTCTGTGCTTCTATGAGCTCGAGGGTTTTAGCTTCCACATATAAGTGAGATAATGTAGCATTTGTCTTTCTGTGTCTTGCTTATTTCACTTCCTCCGGGTTCACTCATGTTGCTGCAAAACACAGGATTTCCATTTTCTTTTAAGGCTGAGTAGTATTCATATACACACACATACCCCCCACATTTTCTTCATCCATTTATCAATGGACATGTAACTTGTTTCCATAACTTTGCTACTGTGAATAATGCTGCAGTGAATATGGAAGTACACATAACTCAAGACAGTGATTTTCTTTTGGATATATACCTGGAAGTGGGATTGCCTATGTTGATGCATCCTTGCATCCCAGGGACAAATCCCATTTGGTCATAGTGTATAATCCTTTCAATATGTTACTGAATTTGATTTTCTAACATTTTATTAAGGGCTTCTGCACCTATGTTCATCGGGAATATTGGCCTGTAGTTTTTTCCTTGTGGTACATTTACTGGCTTTGTATCAGAGTGATACTGGCCTCATAAAATGAGTTTGGAAGTGTTTCCTCTTCTATTTTTGTTACAGTGTAAAAAGAATTGGCACTGATTTTTCTTTGAATGTTTGGTAGAATTTACCTGTGAAGCCATCTAGTCTTAGGCTTTTTTGTTTCTACTTCTTGATTCCATTTTCTGGAATTTGATTCCAGAAAACTGATTCAGTTTCTAGGAATTTATCTATTTCTTCTAGATTATCCAATTGACTGGCATGTGGTTCATAAAAGTCACTTACGATCCTTTTTATTTCTGAAGCATCCATTGTAATACCTCCTCTTTCATTTCTGATTTGAGTCCTCTCTTTTCTTGGTTTGTCTTGCTAACGGTTTTTTTCAAAAAACAAACTCAGGTTTTCTTAATATTTTCTATTATTTTCCTATTCTCTATTTCTACTCTGATCTTTGTTATTCCCTTCCCTCTGCTAAGTTTGGACTTAGTTTGTTCTCCTTCTAATTCCTTGAGGCATAAAGTTAGGTTGTTTGATATTGTTCTTCTTTTTTAATGTAGGCCTTTATCCCTCTTAGTACTCCTTTTTCTGCATCTCATAAGTTTTGGTACGTTGTGTTTTCAGTTTCATTTGTCTCAAGAAACTTTTCAAGTTCCCTTTTGATTTTTTCTTTGACTCAAAGGTTGTTCAAAAGGATATCATTGTTTAGTTTCCACATATTTGAGTTTTCCTTTTTTCTTACTATTACTGATTCCTAATTGAATTCCATTTTGAGTGGAAAAGATTCGTAGAATGATTTTGATCTTCTTAAATTTGAGACCTGTTTTGTGATCTAACATGAACTATACTGGAGAACGTTTCATGTGCACCTGAGAAGAATGTATATTCTTTTGCTGTTGTGTTAAAAGTTCCATACGTATCTGTTAGATCCATTTGGTCTATAGTGTTATGCAGTTCTGCTGTTTCCTTATTAATTTTCTGTCTGAATAATCTACTCATTAGAGAGACTGGGGTATTGAAGTCACCTACTATTAATGTATTGCTGTATCTCCCTTCAGATCTGTCAGTTTGTTTTATACATTTAGGTGCTTTGATGTCAGGTGCATGTATACAGTCATGCACCACATAACATTTCAGTGAACAATGGATTGCATATATGACAGTGATCCCATAAAATTATAATACCATATTTATTTTTACTTTACCTTTTCTATGTTTAGATACATAAATATTTATCACTGTGTCACAAGTGCCTACAGTATTCAGTATAGTAACATGCTGTATAGGTTTGTAGCCCAGGAGCAATAAGCAATATCAGATAGCCAAGGTGTGTAATAGGCTGTACCACATCTAGGTTTGTGTAAGTATACTCTACCAATGTTTGCATGATGAAATCTCATAATGACAAAATAATGATTTAAAATAGGGAAAGATGTATTTCTTATATCAGACCAATAGATGTGTGAGTTATCAGCAGTATTAGATCTACTTTTGAAAACAGAACTCAGACCAGACCTTCATCTGGATTATAAACTGTCAAAACAAGATTTTCTAAAATAAAGTAACATATTCAATCACAATCCTCTCACTAAGTATATATAAAACATGTGTGTGTTTAACTGTTTGAATGAGAACAAAATATTTTTGTACCATAATAAAAATTTTAAGCATTTTTATTGTCTTATCTTTTAAAATGTGTATTTACAACATATGTTAACACATTAGTATGTCCGTTAGCAAGTGTGTATAATTTATAAATACGTATATATGTTCATATAGAACACTGCCTATTGCCTAGCACATAGGGAACTCTCACTAAATATTAGGTATCTTCATCATAATGGAGGTAATATGCTCAAATTTTTCTTGTACTGATCAGGTATAGGTTCAAAAAGTTTGGCATCTATTGATTTAGCTAACAAATGATGGTGGCTTGGAAGGTGATGTGTTCTATGTCCTGGAGGTAGCATCAAAAGACTTAACTGATCATTTGAGTGTGGAACGAAGAAATAAGAGGCCCCAGTGATGACTTCTTTTCTGTGGTTTGAGACAAACAGAAATGCCATTTATGATTTTCACAGCAGATAAAGCAAGAGTTAGGATCATGAATATGAGTGCCTGCATTGCTCATTAGCCTCTCTATGCCTCACTTTTCTTCTCAGATAAAATGATAATAATCTGCCCTATATGCGTCATAGTACTGTTGAGAGAAAACTAGACATATCATAAACATTTACTAAAACTGGCTTATAAAACAAACTTCTTAAGACTACTTTTTTTCTCCATGTGAGATGTAGACTGCTTTGTATTCTTTCAACTGACTTAATTTTATCTTATCTCAAAATTGAAGGTGTTAGAAGAAAAACATAACTGTTGAGGTTTGTTCAGTATTTGATACTTTTAAAACTCAACTTTGTTATATACAAAGTATAATTATATTGAAGACTAGGATAATAGACTCCTAATTTGAATATACATGTCAGGCTTACCAAAACTGTGCATATTCAGTTTATTCAGAATAATCTTTAATTCTTAAAAAGTTATGCACACATACACACACACACATATATAAAGTGCAAAAAAAGTATCTTTTCATAAGACAATGGTAAACAGATCATGAAGGCACAATTAAGACCAAAGAAAAACTTTGAGCACTTTTTCCAAGATTCATATATAATCAGTTCGAATACAACTTTCTTCATTACCAAAATCATCTTTAATCAATGTACTTTGTTTTCCAGAAAGTAGCCACAGTGTCAATGCTAACAGCCACCATTGGGTTAGAAAAGGTTAGAGACTCCAAACTATATTTTTTAGATACGCTTTTTCACTAACTGCATAAGCTGCATTTCTGGTCCTTCACATCTTGCTACTTACAGGGAGAAGTTTCTTTCTGTTTTTTCTCATGCTATTTCATGTAACAGAACATACATATTTGTGCAGAGGGGTGAAACTAAGCAGGGTTGAATTAAATGCAAGTAGTCAGGAAATAAAAATTAACATAAATAGCTCAATATATTTGCCTTTTTACCTAATATCCATATCACTACAAAATTTTCTTTCAGTCAGACAACACTGGAAGAAAAATCTTACGTTTCTATATAACCTTCTATACAGAAATGTAACAAGTCACATAGCTTCTATTCTACCTCTTCAACTTTCCACTCTTCCTATCCTTAAATTTATTCTCCTCTCATCTCCAATGACTAGCTAGCTAAGAAAATAAACAAATTAGTTTTAAAATGTTCATGAAAGAAAATGACCCTAAAAAGACAGAGAAGAAGGCAAAAGGGTATGGAGCAGAGAAGGCATGGAAAGTCCTACATATCTAAAGACATTCAGTGCAATGTTACTTGTGATGACAAAAGTTGTGGAACAGGCACCCAGTAGATGATGACTATCATTACAATCAGTGATGGTGCAGTAACATTAAAAATGTTACTTAGAAAAACACAAAATACTAAGTTACAACTATGTAAGAATATATATACCTGAGACTGTGAAATAGATTATGAATAAAAATAACAAAAGGTGATGGAATTTACCCCCGCCACAAGTTGATTATAATAAAAGTTTTCAGAACAAATCTTTAGGAAAAATATATATGTATCGTTAAATGATAATGGCATTAGCCATTCCAGTAACACATCAATGTTATTGTTAAGGAACTTCTCAAGACTCAAGATCTTAACCCAAAGGAGACACTTTATGGCAACAGTTCTTACTCATGGAAGTACTACCCTCACCTCGCCCACCAGGGGTATTTGTATGCTGTCAAAATGATCAGGGGGTGTTACTAGCACTTTTTTGAGCAAAGCCTATTGTGATGGTTAATCGTGTATGTCAACTTGACTGAATCACAGGGTGCTCAAATATGTAGTCAAACATTATCCTGAATGTTTCTGCATAAGAATAACATTTACATTGGTAGACCAAGTAAAGTAGACGTCCCTCTAGAATGTGGGCAACCCTCATCCAATCAGTTGATGACCTGAATAGAACAAAAAAGGGCGACCCTCCCTCAAGGAAGAGATTTTTTTTCTGCCTTCAGATTCAAACTGAAACATTTGCTCTTCCCAGTTCTCAGACCTTCAAAGTCAGACTGGAAGTGCACTATCAGCCTTCTTGGGTCTCCAGTTTGCTGTGACTTCCACTGTGGTTCCCTGGGACTTGCCAGCCTCCATAATAGCAAGAGTCAACTCCCTATAATAATGCGTGCCTCTGTCCCTCTCTCTCTCTCTCTCTCTGTATCTCTCTATATATGTATATGTATAGGCTCCGTTTTTCTGGAGAACCCTAATACACCAAGGACACTAAACGTCCTACAATGTCAGTGGCACCCCTATGGAGAAACACTGCTCCAGTTAGGTAGAAACTTTTCCTGGTGGCGGGCTGGATATAAAAAGCATGCCTTTTTACAAGCAGATGTGCCTTCTACCATTTCTCAAACTATCCCATATAAGATGACTATCTCAGAGTTTGCCCTCTTAGTTGTACAGTCATATGTAGTTAATCTAAAGTAGCCCATAAATACTTGGTAAAATAAAAAATCAATACTAAAATTTGCCTCCTTTCTTTGCACACATACATTTTTAAACAATCTGATACTGGTAGCCCATAGTTGTTTTTTATTTCTTTTCACATCATTTTAAGTTGTAAATTCTACATTGCTTAAAGATTTCTCTTTTGCTTAGAGGACTTATAAATATACATGAAGCTAAGCAAATCTTTTTCAAGATTCCCTCAAAATACAATTTTGTCAATATATAAAAGTCAAGATGCTGCTGTTGGCCAAGATGTAAATAGACCAACCTCAAATAGACTAGCTGTGAGTTCTTCCAATTCCTGTCCAAGTTGATCTCGCACTTTTGAAAGCCTCTCACATTCTTCATCTTTTAACTTCAGTTCCTAAGAGAAATTGATAATTTTATTTTGGATCTCCATAGTTGGAAGTTAGATTCAGCAGACTACATAATCTTTACTAATAAAATTATAAAATATGAATACTGTCGCTACCTACAATGTTCACACTGAAAATATTTATCTAGCACCTGCTATGTGGAAGACAATCAGGCAAGTCCAAAATTACAGAAAATCCCAACTAACAAATTAAATTTTCACATTTCTTTCATAAAATATTCAAAAATTAAAACTATATATTACATATATAATATATAAAAATATATATTACAGGTGAAAATAAATGACTTAATTCTTTTTTCCTTTAACTTTTTGCTATACATACTTATTTCCATCAAGCAGGGAATAATGCATATTAATTTCAATAAAAATTCACTTTTTTCATGTTTACTTTAAAAGCTATTTACTTACAGGTAACTTCATGTACCATACTGCACTTATCTAAAACAGCTGTTAGGAGACTATACCCATTAAACAATGTAACTAGATATAAACGATGTATATTTGCATTTAAAATCAAGAAAAATGTTAACAAAAATCACATTCTACATTTATATTCAACTCCTCACCAGGTCACATACAGATGATTTAAAATTCCCTTATTCAGATATTAAAAATACGCAATTTTGTATGCTTAAGTAGCCCTAACCTTTCAAACACAGGGAGAAAAAAAATCTAAGCTCCTTACATATTAGTCACAATTAAACTAATAAAATAACAAGTTAGTGGTTTATAATTGTGGTGGCAGTACAGTCTTTTAACTCCCCAAAGATAATTCCTAAAAACCAGATATACCAACAGGGACATGAGAAGAGCCCAATGAAACTAAGTAAAAGAGAAACTCCATAATTCTCAGAATATTAAGAGAATGTGGATAAATTGCTCACAATGCATGATCACCAGATGTACAAAAGCAGCAGGAAATTAAAGCTACAACAGAGGTACTCTACAAAGCAACAAAATTCAAAAGTCACCAAGAAATACTCCACAAGCACAGGCCTCTATCTTTGGAAAAAACTCGAACAGCAAATCTAAGAAATAAATGGAGAGAAAGGAAAAGGTTTACACAAGCTCCAAGTTGCAGGTGAGTGCAAAAACCTGTATAGTCAGTCCTATAGGCAGCAAAGAGTGCTATGAAGCTCTAAACCCTCAAGCATCTTAGAGGAGTATGTAAAAAAGAGCCCTCACCAGAAGGACAGTCTCACCCTAAGGGGGAAAAAACTCTGAAATCTCAAACAAAACTGCAAGATAATGAAGACAGTGAGAAAGAAGGATCAGATATAAAGAGAGAAGGGAGTGGCAAAGTTCCAAAGGGAACAGTTGACAGAAAATACTATAAAGAGAAAATAAGTATCCTCTGATGGGATGCTAAGCATGTAAAGCTCTCAGAAACAGTGCGCTAGAAAACAAAAACCTTTTTGACCAAGGATTACCTAAGAGACAAAGGGGCTACACACATACTCCAATAACAACAGAGGAGAAAGACCTTCAAATGTAAACTGATAAAGCTATCCTGATTTATTCTTTCATAGGAACCTCTTCCTAATAGTCCAGGGAAATCCAGATCATTTAAACATGGGAAACAAAAATATGTAAAGTTATCACAATAATTAAGTTAAATACAAAGCCAAGTCACCTATAAGGGAAAAAAAAATCAGACTGGAACCAAATTTCAACGGCAACATTTATGTTAGAAAACAATGAAGTAACATTTTTAAGATACTCAAAGGAAAAAATATGAGCTGAGTATTTTATAACCAGCAAAAGTGTCCTTCAATTGTATGACCACAAAGTCATAAAGCTGTAAGACCTTAGAAAATGTCTCTCCTATGAGCTTGCCTGAGTGGACCACAGAATGTTTCAGATTAAAAAAACAACAACAAAAAAAAAACTGGAGAAGCCGTAACATGATGGACTGGGGTAAGAAGAAAATACAGCTAACTTTAGAACTACAACTAAAAGATGGGAATATCAAGAGAATGAGAAGACATGACACAAATTGGGAAAAAAAATTTGCAAATGACCTATGTGATAAACTACTGCTTCCAAAATATACAAAGAACATTTAAAATTCAACAGTGAGAAAAGAACCACCAAATTAAAAACTGCGCAAATGACCAAAACAGACACTTCACCAGAGAAGACAGATACACAGATGACAAATAAGCATATGAAAAGATAATTGCCGGGTGCGGTGGCTCACGCCTGTAATCCCAGGCCTTTGGGAGGCCGAGGCGGGCGGATCACAAGGTCAGGAGACCCAGATCATCCTAGCTAACACAGTGAAACCCCGTCTCTACTAAAAATACAAAAAAATTAGCCGGGCGTGGTGGTGGTGGCGGGCGCCTGTAGTCCCAGCTACTCGGGAGGCTGAGACAGGAGAATGGCACGAACCTGGGAGGCAGCGGAGCTTGTAGTTAGCGGAGATTGCGCCACTGCACTCCAGCCTGGGCGACAGAGCAAGACCCCGTCTCAAAAAAAAAAAAAAAAAAAAAAAAAAAGAAAGAAAGAAAAGATAATCACATTAAGGAACCACAAATTAGAACAATGAGATGGCCGGGTGTGGTGGCTCACGTCTGTAATCCCAGCACTCTGGAAGGCTGAGGCGGGCGGATCACAAGGTCACGAGTTCGAGACCAGCCTGACCAACACGGTGAAACCCTGTCTCTACTAAAAATACAAAAATTAGCCAGGCATGGTGGCGCGTGCCTGTAATCCCAGCTACTCAGGAGGCTAAGGCAGGAGAATCACTTGAAACCGGGAGGCGGAGGTTGCAGCAAGCCGAGATCGCGCCACTGCACTCCAGCCTGGGCGACAGAGCGAGACTCAATCTCATAAAGAAAAAACAAAACAAAAAGCAATGAGATACCCTACATACCTACTAGAATGGCCAAAACTCAGAAAACGAGTTAGTGGTGTTGTAACTGTGATGGCAATATAGTTTTTTAATCCCCCTTTGGGGCATTAAAACTGGTAATATCAAATGCTAAAGAGAATGTGAACCAATAGGAACTTTAATTTATTGCTAGTGACAATGCAAAATGGTAAAGCTACTTTGGAAGATAGTTTGGCAATTTCTTACAAAGCTAACCATCCTCTTACCATGGGATCCAGCAATCACACTTGTTGGTATTTGCCTAAATTAGTCAAAAACATGTCCACACAAAAACCTGCACACACACATTTATAGCAGCTTTATTCACTCATAATTGCCCAAACTTAGAAGCAGCCAAGATGGCCTTCATGAGGTGAATGGATAAACTATGGTACGTCCAGACAGCGGAATATCATTTTCTGCTAAAAGAAAATGAATTAACAAGCCATGAAAAGACATACAAGATTAAATGTGCATTACTAAGTGAAAAAAGCCAATCCGAAAAGGCTACACACTATATGATTCCAACTGTATGACAATCTGGAAAAGGTAAGACTACAGAGATGTTAAAAATATCAGTGGTTGCCAGGGTTTTTGGGGAGAACGGGATGAGCAGGCAGAGCACAGAGGATTTTTAGATCAGTGAAACTACTCTGTATGATACTATCATGGTAGATATATGTCATTATACATTCGTCAAAATCCACAGCATGTACAACATCAAGAGTAAATCCTAATGTAAACTATGAACTTTGGGAGACAATGTGTCAATGGAGGTTTATTAATTTTAAGAAATGTTCCACTCTGGTAGGGGATGTTAATGGTGGGGGATGTTGTGCGTGTGTGGGGACAGCCAAGTATATGGGGACTCTGTACTTTCAATTTTGCTGTGAACCTAAAACTGCTCTAAAAAATAGTGTCAATTTTTTAAAAATGGAGATAAAACTGACAAAATGGTATAAAAATGATACAAGCTCAAGGGATGTAAAAGTAACACATATTATTTTTAAAAAACAAAAAAATTACAAGAAAGGTGAAATTAAGTGTACTAACTTCTTAAGTATTGCTTGGAAAAAAGAGTTACAACTTGAAGCTCTCAAATCAATTGGGATAAACCCAAGTACATTTATGAACATAGTGATTGGCATTAAGATAATACTTGTAACTAAAATTAAATGATACAGGAAAAGGGAAGAAACAGTTTAGTATTGTTTATGGCAGGAAACAAAGGTAGTATATAAAGAACTTTTAAGATATATAAATGTATTTGATTAAAAATAACAAAACAAAAATCAAACCTTCCAAAATACTAATTAAAAAAAAAAAAAAAAAGACTTAGAAGGAATCAAGCACACTAGTGCCTAAGCAGGAAGTTTCATCTGCCCACTGGCATTGGTCTTGGCAGCAGATCTGAAAGTTATCCCGTAAATTGGCTCCGACCCCTCGGTCACCCAGCCATGGGCCCAGTTTATTACTGCTTGCACAAGGACCCAGAGAAAGATTTACCCATATCCACAACCCAGGAATGATTTGTCTGTCTGAGCCTCCTTGAAGGACCTGTCAGCCTTTGTCCCAAAGCAGGTCCTAAAGGATCCCACTCTCCACTCTAGCCTCTCTCACTGCAGTCAGGGAAATGTCCCACCTGTGCAGGGAGCTTCTGGGGGAAGCTTGCCTGCCTGGGCTACCCTGGAGGTTTGCCAGCCTCTGTTCCACAGCAGAGAAGGGGCCCAGACTCAGCTCCAGCCCCTCTCCCTGCAGTTGGTAAACTGTCCCATCCATGCAGGTAATTACTGGGAAGCATGGATGTGGGCCACTGGGGCAAGCTCAACCAGCCTCCACCCTACAGCAGAATATAAGGGGTCCCAGTCTCAGCTCCAGTTCCTTTTGCTGCAGTTGGGGAACTATCCCATCTGTGCAGGGAGCTGCTGGGAAACATGCATCTGTCTAAGCAAATGGGACAGGCTTCCAGGTTCGGGTCATTGGCCAACTTTCTCACAGTCAGGGTACCCCTACCTTGAGTGATCATCAGGTATATCCTGGCTGGAGCACCATGTCATCCTGGAAGCCCTCGGGAGACTCGTGGTAAAAATGGGCTTAAGGCGCCCTCTACCGC